CCCTCTCTCTCTCTCTCTCTCTCTCTCTCTCTCTCTCTCTCTCTCTCTCTCTCTCTCTCTCTCTCTCTAAATTGTATTTATACGAACATTATTGACCGACTTATTCCCACATTTCTTTTTCTTCACTTTCTCGTTCTCCCCTCTCTCTTTTTCTCTCTCACCCCCCTCTCTCTCTTTCTCCCTCTCTATCTATCTCTCTTTCTTTGTCTGTCTGCCTCTCATTTCCCCACAAAAATCAGTTTCTTTCATGCTGTGAAGTATTTTTTCTTTAACTTTAATCGAAAGCCGTTCACGATAGCATCCCGATTATGCTGTTCATCACTTTTTATCACAAAGGTAGGCTACAGTGTTAAGTTTATGAGGTACTATTCAGATTTTAAAAAATAGTGTAACAAAGCAACCTTTTTTTTCTTTTGTTTTCTCAACAACTATTGACTATAGCATTTTCTACTCCTAGGAGGAGGCTAAACACGAAGCACGAAAGACAAATCTATTTTCAATGTAGATGTTTTTACGCCTACTTCGACATATTTTGTGTGATTTTTGGAGGTGGGGTTCCGACCTTGCCTGCCAGGACCAACCCGGACTGAGAGGGATACAACATCCCAGCAAAAAGACGAAGATACATGTACTCGATAAAGATTTTCTTCCGACTCGAGAATCGAACTTGGGTCTGCTGCGTGCGACATGGGATCACTTCACTACAGCACCGAATCTTTTAAAAATTGTAAAAGTAAGTTGAAAGTAATAAAATATGAGAGTTTGAAAGATGGGAGCGGTATACACAGAGATTTTGCAGATGATCATATGTCGTATCTATCTATCTATCTATCTATCTATCTATCTATCTATCTATCTATCTATCTATCTATCTATCTATCTATCTATCTATCTATCTATCTAATTACAGACAATCTGTGCTCTGGTGTAGTTTGACTACTAGTTTGCTCCTCCTATCCTATCAAACATTTATCATACCTATCCCCCTTTCTTTTTTGTGTTTGTTACTCTCTTGTAAAACCTCTATTCTTCTGCACTTATATGACCTTATTGTGTTACAAGTGCCGTAAAACACTTACTAAAACTAAAGAGACAATCGACCATGTTCGTGACAAAGGAAATCGCAAAAACCCTTCACCATACGTATCGGTTCCGTTCAACTTCAGATTACCACAGGATGAATGCGTGAACTATGTTACTAAAAGGAATGTTCGCGTTCGTTGTCCAGCTGCAAATTGAAATGTTCGTAATAACAGCAAACCGTATAAACATTATGACATATATTCAGTACCACATATTGTAGGCCATATTTTCTGTAGCATCACTAGAAATCCAGAGATAGTTAAATTTGGTAAGAAAAAGAAAACTGACTTCTTCGAAGTAAGTGAAATAAGAAGGAAAGGCATGACACCAAAATTATGCACAAAACCTACGACCGCGTCTTTAGTGAAACAAGCGACAAAGAAAGACCATAACTTGAAATGCGATTTTAAATTATTTTTTGGGTAAGTGTTTTACGGCGCTCGCAACTGCATAAGGTCATACGAGCGCGCGGGACACACCCTAATTTTCAGTTGGTAGGACATTTTGAATTTTCCCGGGGTGGCGGCCGAAGCCAACTCTTATCGATTTTGGACCACCAGGGGATCTTTAACTTGGCCAACTTGCACACAGGACCTCCGATATTGTTCGTCCTTGTCCGAGAAGGCTAGATGTAGACCTTACCTACCATAAGATAAGGGGTGTGGCTGAAAGACAGCAGTAAAAAGGAGCCAAGGAGAAGCAGCAGGAAGGCTGCAGAAAAAGTCGGGAGCCCAGAGGAGGGGGCAAATGAGGTAGGTGAGCGGTGGGGGCAGAAAGTGGATGCAAAAGTAGACGACAGAACATTGTTAGACAGCAGGAAAGGATGTGAAAGCAGAAATTTTAAGAGAAGAAAACTTTCCGTCGTTATTTGGATTCGAACCCGGGACCTATTGAATGAGAGGCGAACACCTTAACCTCTAGGCCACGGGAGCCAGAGAGTACACCCTGACACAAACAAATACACCAAGGATAATGAAATTCATCTCAGAACAGATACTAAGCGCATAGATTATGCATAACAACAAAACTCCGCGTGCTCATATGACTTTATAACTATATTATAGTTGCGAACGCCGTAAAACTCTTACTAAACTAAACTAAACTAAACTAAACTAAACTAAACTAAACTAAACTAAACTAAACTAAACTAGCAACAAAACAACTGCTTACACCCAGGCTTATATACCATGTAACGGCACCTACACAAACGAGGATCTCGAGAGAGCAGAGTTTAAAAAAACGAACTCAGCCATACTGACAACACAGAAAAGATTCAGAAGATCTGATTTTATAGGCTATAGGCGACTTCAGTTGAAAAATGGGAAAAAGAAGACCCCCCCCCCCCCGGGAAGCACAACTAGGGTCATATTTATAGCGAATATGAAACTCAGTGCTACGAAAATTGCGAGCTACTCTTGGTACTGTGCGCTGAACATGATAATTTAATCACCTCCAGCACTTTGTTCAAACAGAAAAAGCATGGTACAAATCGCTACCTTAGAATTACTAAGTTCTATCTGAATCTGATATTTCTGGCCGTTCTGAGTTACAAGGACCTTCAGGTCAGAAACCAAAAATATCTTATCTACTTTAACAAACTTGTGTGGTTATTCGGAGTCGTTATCAAATATTCAAAGAAATACATTCGAAAAAGCTGGACAAGTTATGAAACTCAAAATCTTTGACGTCAAATTTTGTCTCAAAACTAGGTAGGCCTACTGAGCAGATATAACTTTGTAATTCTAAGGTAACGAAATGAAAGAACCAAGAAAAATAATCGTAGATAGCCTTCATACTAAGCAAACGGGCAACAAGAGTAACAATAAAAGACGCCAGAGTGATCCCAGACGACATCCCAGACACAGACCAGAGACCAGTGATAATGAGCCAACTACTGTACAGACTAGAGAAAAGAGAAAAACCAATAACTCAAAAAGAAAAATAATCAACCTTAGAAAAGTCTCAAGTAACAATACAAAAGCACAAGTTGAAAAACACAACAAGGAAGTTCTCGGACAACTCGCTACTGCAGAATTATAAAGTTCCATCTGATATTTTGGGGTGTTTTGAGTTAACTGAGGAGACCATGAGGTCAGATACCGAATGCTCTTTCTAAACTGATTATTCGGAGTCGTTATCAAAATATTTAAAGAATTGCATTCGAAAG